CCTCTGTCTTTGCCTCTCTCTCTCTTCTCTCCTCTCTCTCTCTTCCCCTTCCTTTCCCCCTTTCTCTCCTCTCTCTCCTCTCTGATGAGCTTTCCCTGATTCTCTCTTACTGTCTGTGTGTGTGTCTCTCCACGTGGCTGATTCCCTCCGTCCCAAAGACCGTTTGCCTGGGGCTCTTTCTCTTTCTATGTCTGAGACCCAGTGGTGTCTGCAGGGATCTGTGTGCCTGTTCCTCTCTCTCCTTCTTCGTGGCTCTGTGTGTATCTCTCTCCTGTCTCTGTGACCACGTCTCTGCCTTTTCACGAGAAGCCTGGGCAGGGCGGGTGAGAAGTCCGGGCATCCCATCTCAAACGACCCCCGTCCAGCCTCAGCTCTTTCTGCCGGCCTGGCTTGGGCAGGTCTCTTAGCCTCCCTGGGAATCGCTTCCTCCTGTGGAAGCCGAGGCACGTTGACTAGCTGGCGTCTGAGACCCCTCACCCCGTCAGTCAGGAGCGCTGCTGATGGCCCGGCTTGGGGCAGGGCTCTGCCGTGCTCTTTCTGTGGCTCTGACCAGGTCTGTATCTGCGCCAGCAAGCCTTCGCTCGCACCTCCTCTGTGCCCGGCACTGTTCGAGGCTCTGCTGGGGAAGAGACAAAAGGGAGCCGGTCCCTGCCCTCAGGGAGCCTCCATCCTCCCGGGCATAGAGCGTGTTCACAGAGAAGTGCAATGAAAGGATTTGTTCTGTGAAGTTTGGACTAAGAGGGCCGCACTCGAGGACCTGGAGGGCCACATGGGGCCTTGAGGCTGCAGGTTCCCCACCCCAGAGTTAGGAGGAGGGCTGGACTTGTGGGGAAGATGGGGCTAAGGACGGGACTGGACCCAGGATTTTTGTGGTGCAGGGAGCTCCCGGGTGACGAAACTCCCTCCAGCAGTACCGGTCAGCATCTCCTCTGCCACAAAGGGTCTGTCGGCCAAGGTTGAGTGTTCTCCTGAGGTCCCAGAGCCATCGGGTGTCAGGAGGATCTTGAAGTCAGGTTCCCCTCTGGTCACTGCATTCACTGACTCCTGGAGAAAGCTAATGAAGGTGGGACGGGGGTCAATGAGTTTGAGAGGCCTCTGAGACCACCAGGTAAAGATGGTGGCTGGGCACTGGTGCTTAGGAGACAGACAGACTGGGCAGAGCTCTGGCTGCCCTCTGCCCACAGGGCATCAGAGAATCCATGTCTTTGGTCATCTCGCCTGGCCTGTCCCTCCCTTTGTGACCCACGAGCTCTCCAGGGCCATCTCTTCTAACCAGTGATACCTTCTGTCTGGTGGCCACCCATGTTCTGTTAATTCCATGGAGGGAGCCAGGTGCTCAGGGGCAGGCTGCCCAGTGTGTCCAGCTGGTGGCCAAAAGGCCAGGCCAGCCTTCCTGACAGTGTGCTGTGTCTTTCCCCAGCTCCTCCATCTCCAGACTGCCCCCTGCCCCCGGAGGAGCATGGAATGGCTGCCAGACTCCTTCCAGTCAGGGCTCAGGTAAGTTGGGTTCTCACATCTCTCTGTAGACCACCCCCTGGCCTCTCTCCTGGACGCTTTCTGCCAGTGTCCCATCCAGGGAGGAGAGCCCAGGCTCTGTGGAGGCTCTGCCCTCTGAGGAAGCAGCAGGGTGACCTCCCCGCGGCTCTGCTTGCCTCACTCCTGTCTCTGGGACCGCAGCCTCTTGTCAGTGACCATTCAGTGATAGATCTCTCTGTCGCAGTGACCAGCCCCCTCTGTGTGTGTCCCTGCACCCTCTCTCAGGAGTTCCTTCCATGCCTGTGTCTGTGTGGGGCTGGCCTCGGAAAGCCTCTGGAGCAGGAGTGGGGGGTCTTGCTGTCACTACAGGTGCCTGGGCAGGAACTAGATGGCCCTTTGGCAGGGATGGCACAGCTCAGGCAGAAATGTCTTTGGAGGTCGCATCAGCTCCGAGAGTCTAGTATTCTCAGAACCTCCTCATACTCAGAACAGTCCAGAAATGAAATGGTTTCCTTTGATAGGTAGTAAGCTCCCCGTCACTGCTAGGTATGCAGATAAAGACTACAAAAGAGGTGAGATGCCCCTGAGGGCCCCTGATGAAGCCATCGCCTCGCTCTTTCTGTCACTCTGACTATATCTGTGTCTCAGTCAGCAAGCATAATACCTCCTCTGTGCCATGCACTGTTCTAGGCACTGCAGGGGAAAAATACACAAGTGAGCCAGCCCCTACCCTTGGGGAGCTCACAGTCTACCAGGACTACCGGTGCTGGGTGGCTTGGTCCCAACTCTCTGTGCCGATAGCTGGGGGTTCTGGGTGGGAAACCTTGGCTCTGGCCCTGGGTCAGTCACCAGGACCCCCGGGGCCCATGTTACCTCCTCATGCACTGACCCCCTTCCCGTGTTGTTGGGAGGCCAGAGCTGCACGGTAGGGATGGGGGCGGCAGTCATTTTCTGAGATTGCTGTGTGAGTCTGGGCCAGTCATTAAATCATTCTGGGTCTCAGTTTCCTTCTCTGAAAAATGGGGGCAAATCCTTGAAGTTCATCCCTTCCTCCCAACCAGAGAGGCCTCATGGTGTAGAGGAAGAGCCAGGTTCAGGCCCTGCCTCTGACTCTCACGGGCTGTTTGACCCTGGGCACATCACTCAACTTTTCTGTGGTCTAGGCAGCGTGAGAAGGTGCCCACCTGCATTCCTTCACTGGCTTCACGAAGGAGGGAGCACCTGGGCTGAGCCTGTAAAGAAGATGAGGATTCTGAGGCAGAGATGAGGAAGTGCATTCTAGTCATTGGACAAATGCACGGAGGTGGGAGACGGGATGTCAGAGTCAACGACCAGCTAGTTGTACTGGAGTGTACAGCACATGAATCAGTCAGTCAGTAAGCACATATTAGGCACCTGCTGTGTGCCGGCCACTGTGCTGGGTGTTTGTGTTTTATCCCAGCAGCACGGAGAGATTGTGGAGGATTATTGAGGAGCTGAGGGATATGGTCAGACCTGGGCCTTAGGAGGATTGTTTTAGCAATGGTGTGGAGGACTGAAGGCAAGAGAAGGGAGAAACTGGACCCAGGGTCCAATTGGAAGGCTCTGCCGAAATTCCAGGTAGGGGTTAATGAGAAAGCCAGGAGACCAGAGATTACAGCAGGGCCTGAATGAGGGTCCTGGGTGCAGAGAAGGGGGCGGGGTGAGGCCTGGAGATGGATGGGGAGGGAGGGAGGAGAGGAGACAAGACATGACGAAATGAGATGTGTGGGAGGGAAGGAAAGGGAAGGGTCACGGTGTCCTCGGCATGAGAGGGGACAGGACTGGTGGAGAAGATCACGCTTTCCACTTTAAACATTTTGAGTTTGAGATGCCAGCAGACATCCAAGCAGAGATGTCCAGTTGATGATAGGGAACTGGAGGCCAAGAGAGATATAGAGTGGGGATCCATCTGCCCAGAGTCCAAGGGAGACAGTGTGGAGAGAAGAGCAGAGGCCGGGGGACTCCCACGGCAGGCCTGGCAAATTGGCAGTCGAGCAGAGGAGGCTGAGGAGGAGGAAAACCCAGAGGCACCATGTCCCAGAAGCCACAGCGGGACAGAGCTTCTGTGGACGAGGGAGGGGCACTCAGCAGTGGCAGAGCTTAAGCGGAACACATGGAGAAAAGGCTGTCAGACTGGCCAGTCGAGAGAGAGGGTGGTTTGAGTTTGGTGACGGTCAGAGGTGGGATTGCAGGGGGGCAGTAGCTCAGGGATATCCTTTCTACCCCCAACCCCACCCTCATTCATAAAGATTTGAGTCTGCATGTTTCTGTGCCTTCAATTCACTTCACCCCAGTGAAGCCATAGGGATGGTCAGGCCTTCGCTCTCGTTGTCCTCAGGCTGCTCGGGGATTCCCAGCTCAGAAATCCGTCTTCCCATCTCTCCCACTGCCTTACTTCTCTTCAACCTGTTCTTCCAGGAGAGCTAAACTACGCCTCTTTTTGTTGTTTTTAGCACACACACACACACACACATGCACGCACAGTCTTACAGATCTGGGGAGAAAAGATTTCAAGGGGTCCGCAGAAAGAATATCTAAGATCCCGTGGCCTGAAATGCTCCATGGAAATTCATCTACCATTCTGCCACTGAATTGACACTTTTAAAAAGCATACTGTGATACTCCCTCGCTCAAGAATCTCAGGGACTCCCCATTGCCCTTGAAGAAAGGGGAAGAAGCCTGATTCCTAGAAGGAAGAAAAGGAAAGTTATTAATTAGTCAGCAAGCATGTATTAAGCTCGTACTGTGTACAGGCATGGTGCGAAGCTCTGGAGAGTATAAAAAGGAAAACAAAAACAGTCCCTCCAGGAGCTTCTGATTGGGTTCTCCCTCCCTCCCTCCCTCCCTTCCTCTCTCTCTCTCTCTCTCTCTCTCTCTCTCTCTCTCCCTCCCTCCTTCTCTCTCTCTCTCTGTCCCTCTCCCTCCCTTCCTCTCTCTCTCTCTCTCCCTCCCTTCCTCCTCCCTCCCTCCCTCTCTCTCTTTCCTCCCTCTCTCCCTCTGCTCCCCCACATATACATCTGTACACACACATATAATGTATATGCTATATATAATATATATTAGGCAGACAATTTGGTTTCAGATAGATATGTGATTATATAGAGAGAAGACAGATGCAAAGTAGACATAAGGTAGCCGTCAGACATAAGGGTAGCTCCAGCGGCCGGGGGGTCCTGGGAAGGCCTCTACAGAAGGTGCCCTTGAGCTGCATATTGAAGTGTCCCAGGAATTCTTGAGAGGGGGAAGTGAAGAGGGGTCTTGACATGGGGGACAGGCAGTGCAAGGGCACGGAGATGGAGCTGAAGCATCATGGATGAAGAATAGAAAGTAGGTCAGTAGCAGAATGTAAGAAAACTGGAAAGGGAGGAGGAGGCCAGATTGTGAAGAGATTTAAAGGCCAAACAAAGAGCTTCAGGCTTGACAACTGAGGCAATTGGAGACCTGAACAGGTTGGCTGGTTGGTTGGTTGGTCTCAAAGAGGACCCATTGAGTAGGAGAGTGTGGTGGTCAGACCTAAGCTTTAGGAAGATCATTTTGGCCCCTGAGTGCAGATTGTATTGGAGTGAAGAGAGACTGGAGGCAAGCAGACCCTGCACACACACCCCCCCCCCCCCCCCCGCCAAGCTATTGCCATAGTCTAGGTGCGATGAGGGCCTGCCCCAGGGAGGGGCAGTTGCAGAGGGGAGGAGGGGGCAAATTCCAGAGATGTCGCAGAGGTGAAATTGACAGGCCTTGGCACCATATTGGATATGAGGGGGGTTGAGAGTGAGAGGAGTTCTGGGTGACTCCTAGGTTGGGAGCCCGAGGGACTGGAGGATGGCGGTGCCTTCTACAGTGATAGGGAAGAGAAGGAGGAACTTGGCAGGAAGGATAAAGAATTCTGTTTGGGGCATGTTGAGTTTGAGATACCTGTGGGACACCAAGTTTGAAGATCCAGACAGGCAGTTGTAGGTGCATGATTGTTGCTCAGGAGAGACGCTAGAGCTGATACATGGCTCTGGGGGTCATCTGTGTAGAGATGATAACGGAACCCAGGGGAGAGGATGAGATTCAATTTCATTTCAATTCAGTAAAAAATTGTAAGCACATACCACGCGCCTGGCACTGTGCTGAGTGCTGGGGATCCAAAAGGGGGCAAAAGACAGTCGCTGCCCTCAGGGAGCTCACAATCGAATGGTGAGGGATGGAGAAGACACACAGTGCAGAACAGAGACACACAAACCAAGCTATTTCTGGGTAAGTAGGAAATAATGGCAGAGGGAAGGTGCTGGAATTAAGAGGGGCTGGGGTGCTCGATCGTGCCTTCCTCCTCGTGGAGAAGGTAGTCCCTGAGCTACATCTGCCCTGATGTCTGTGAATTTTCTTACACTAAATAAAGGAGGTTTTAGTAGGGGGGAACAAAAGAAAGGACGCTTGCAGTGAGTGTTTGTGGCAAGGATGACGATTCAGCAAAGGGGACCAGGAGCGGTCAAACAGGCAGGAGGAGAAGCAGGGGAAAGCAGTATTAAAAGCCCAGAGAGGAGAGAGTATTCAGGAGGAGGAGGCGGTCAGTGGTGTCAGAGGCCACGGGGAGGTTCGGAAGGATGAGGAACCAATGGCAACTCTGGAGAGGGCGATTTCAGCAGGACGACAAGGTCAGAGCCAGCTCGGCAAGCGTGGGGCGCTTGGAAGGGGAAGTCGAGGCACCGACCGTCCACAGCCTCCTCACGGAGCTTGGCTAAGAAGGGAGGCAAGGATCTGGGTCAGTCGCCAGCGGGCGACGGCTCCAGCGAGAGTGCTTAGGGGTCATGGCGACACAGGTGTGTTTGGAGGCAGCTGAGGAGGAGCGGGGAGAGGGCGAGGGGCCGGTGAGGGGGACAGTCTGCTGGAGAAGGCGGGAGGAATGGGACCAAGGGAGCCAGCCTGCTGAGGGGCTGGCCTCGCCTACCTCTTCATCAGAGACGGGTAAAGGAGGGGGCCATGGGGACACGAGGAAAGAAAAGGGGATTCTCGAGGAAGGGCCAAGAGGCGGCATGGGAGACTTGAGGGGTTTGGAGCCGCCACGGTGACAGATGGGAGAGAAATCAATGCGGTAAGACCGAAGCGCAGCAGTGAGGGCCCAGCTGATGAGATGGACGGGTCAGCAGTACCGTGGCCTCCTCCCGCTGCATTCAGCAACACTTCAGGGGAGAAGGAGCAGGACCAGCTTGGGGTTGAGATTTGTTGCATTACGATAAGCTCGGGAGTGCGTTGGCAAATATTTAACAACCGCCTCTCTGGCACAGACAGTCCACAAAACAATGTCGAGCCCTGGTGTGAATGCTTACACTGAACATTTAACGCTCGGCTCTTAGGAGCTGGCCTCAGCCCCTGGCCCCTCTGGAGGGGGCAGTGATGGTTCAAGGGCAGAGAATAGTAGAGCTGACCTGGTTTGCCAAGTCAGGGCTGGAAAGGAGGAGAGCACATTCAGGGCCCGAGGATGGGAGGGAGGGAGGTGGCAGTAACGCACCAAGAAGACGGGCGTAAACGGATCACCCCGCGGGACGGTCGGCACGCCTGCACACGGAGTGGGTCCCCGAGGACACGGACATGCTAGCATCAGGTCAGAGTGGGCGGAGGACGGGCAGCAGTGAGTGCTGAGAATGAGAAGAAGGGGGTTGGTCTGGTTTTGTTCTGAGCAACCTCGAGGAAGAGATTAGGGTTAGGATGGGATGACCGCAAGTGGACGAAAGGCAGACCTCTTGTTTTCTTCCGAGGAGAATCACTTTTGGGTTAGGAAGGTCAGGACAGAAATGCTGACTGTCCAAGATAAGTGGGGACGCAGGAAGATCATTGCCCTGGATGGGCTCCGGTCACCTGGCCCAGCTGGGATGTCGCCCTGGAATACCGTAAACCCGTGAGGAGGCGAGAGGTGCTGCAGGACCTGAGAAGGGCAAATCCCTGGAACAGGAGAGTAGACCCTCCAAAGGCTAGCTCAGCTTCCGACTCCTGGCAGAGTTCTCCAACAGACTCTTAAAGAAGAGGCCCGTGATCACAGAGAGGCGCCACAGACAGTGTCGGACGCGGTGATGGCCTTTGGGGCACGCTGACGAGGCTGGTCTCGGGGAATGCAGGAGAGAGATTCGAGATTTTGGACAGAGTCTCTCCTGCTGTCCCCGAAGGCCGGACCTGTGCCGCTAGACACATTGCTGTGTGTCTCAAAGGCTGGACACAGAGCAGGCCCTGGACCAGCTGAATGGTGGACAAGAGGAGGAGGTGTGAGAGGGGTGCTGTTACTCAGAACCAGTGCAGCGGGCAGGCCGTGACAGTGGTCACCGAGCTTTCCTTGGACTTGGACCGCTGAACGCTTGTGTCAGTGCCCGTGACCGAGGCGCCTGCACACGTCTACGGGCGGCCAGGGCGGGGAAGAGGTGGTCAGACATGGGGGGACAGAGCTGGGACCCCCGAGATTTTAACGGGCCAAAGCACAGACTAGGAACAAATGGGACTGTCAGTAGAGGGACAGATGCACAGTCTTACCCCTGGACACCAAGAAGCCCGACTCGCCGAGTACAAGATGAGATCGGCATTTGTCTGAAAAAGACGCAGCTTTGTCCCCCTGCACCTAACAAGGTGATTCGGCAACCAGTGGGCAAGTTACTTCATGAGCCTGGGCCCTGGTGACCTAATCTGTAAGATGGGGATAATGCTTCTTCAGGGAGGGCTTCCTGGAAGAGGCGGAACCTGAGCCAGATAGTGAGGGCAGGAAGGCCAAGGCCGTCTGAATAACTAGACAGATGTGTGTGTGTGTGTGTGTGTGTGTGTGTGTGTGGTCTGTGAGTGTTTGTGTGTGTGTGTGTCTTTGTGTCTGTGCATGTGTCTGTGTGTTTGTGTGTGTGGACAGGGGAGTGCTGGGATATAAGGCTGGTGAGGCAGAAGGGGCCAGATGGCCAGGGTGGGTCCTGAATGCCGGGATCAGGAGTGTTCCCCTGTGTGCACAGGGAAGCCCCTGAAGGGCTCTGAGTAAGGGAACATATCCAGGGGAGATCAGGAGAGGGTCTGTGGGGGACAGTTAAGAGGCTGTCTGCTGCTGTTCAGGCGTTTTCAGTCATGCCCGACTCTCCGTGGCAGAGAGACTGGCGTGGTTTGCCATTTCCTTCTGCAGCTCATTTTACAGATGAGGAAACTGAGGCAAACAGGGTGAAGTGACTTGCCCAGGGTCACACAGCTAGTACTGTCTGAAGCTGGATTTGATGTAGGAAGATGAGTCTTCCCGCCTCCAGGCCCAGGGCTCTGTGCGCTCAGGCGCCCCCGGCACCCCTAAGGGGCTGTTAAAGTCCCCTAGATTGGCAGACAGGGCTGAAAGTCGGCTCCTCTTGGCACACTGCGGTCCAGCCAAACTGGCCTCCTTCCTGTTCTTCACCCACCCACGCCTTCCATCTCCTCTCGCCCTTGATCCTCTCCCCCAGCAGCAGGAACGGCCTGGCATATGGAAGGTGCCTAGTCATTGCTTGTTGACTGACTAGTTGATATGGCGATGGAGTGGAGATCAGGAAGGCAGAATTAAGGGACAGGGCGGGGCGGGGGTGGGAGGGGCTTGGGGGATTCCTAGGTCTAGAGCCCCAAGGCCCTGAAGCTGGTGGTGCCAGCAGCAGAGCCTGTGGGCAGAAGCAGGCTTCGCAGGGGTGCTGTGGCTTTTGTGCAGAGGACAGTGCGGAGGACTGAGGGATCTGAGTGGGGCTTGGTCAGGAAAGGAGGGCAGGGCAGAGCCTAGGATGGGCCACTCCCAGAGCGGGTCACTTAGTGCCCCTATGCCTCTGTCCGCCCATCTGGGCTTGGTGGTCTCTGAGGTCTGCCCAGCTCCAGCTCCCATCTGGCCTCTGGCTAGGGCCCCTTGGGGGCTCATCTCTTTGTGAGCGGGAATTCATCCCTCCAGTAAATGTGTCTGGACCCCCTGCTTTGTATGAGGCACCACAGCCCATGCTGGGAGGAGGGAGGACATGGTCCTTCTTCCCCCTCTCCCTCCCCCTGTCTCCGAGAGCTGGTAGGGGTGATGAGATGTGCCCACTGCCCGCTTGGTGTTGCAGGAAGCAGTGACATTCAAGGACGTGTCTGTGGACTTCACCCTCGAGGAGTGGGAACGCCTGGGCCCTGCTCAGAGGGACCTCTACAGGGAGGTGATGCTGGAGAACTACAGGAACCTGGTCTCCCTGGGTGAGGAAGCCTTCATCTGGGGCCTCAGAGTGGTGGGGATCCCAAATCCCAGCCCAGCCCCGCATGATTTCCACTCTTCGGGGCTCTTCACACCACAGTCTGCATCTCCCTTTCCCCAAGACTAAGGAGTTGGTATTCCATTAGTAGACACCCCGCCTTTCCCTCCCCTCTAAAACACTCAGCCAAATCCACTGCCCTTCTCTAGGAGCCGAGTGCCAAAGTGCCAAACCAAAGCTGATCTCCCAGCTGGAGCAAAGCAGAGAGCCGTGGTTGTTGGAAGGAGAAGACCTGCGTGGCCTCTGTCCAGGTGAGCAGAGCAGAAGGGAGGTATTAATTGTGAGCTCCTTCAGGGCAGAGAGCGACCAACGGTGTCCAAGGCTGCAAGAGGCCAAGGAGAATGAGGACTGAGGGCCATTCGACGGGGCAGCGGAAAGACCACTGGTAACTTTGGACAGAACAGTTTGGGTGGAATGATGAGGTTGGAGGCCAGGCTGTAAGGGGTGAAGGAGAGGGTGAGAGGAGAGAAGGTGGAGGCCCTGATTGTAGGTGGCCTTTTGGGGGAGTTAGCGCCAAAGGGCAGAAAGGTTAGCAGGGATGGAAGGATCAAGTGAGGGTTTCTTGAGGATAGTGAAAACATGGGCATGTTTGTAGGCAGAAGAGAGTTTCCTATTTGCTCCGTCAACAGGGTGGGCCCCACTTTGTGCCTGTAATGCACGTGCCCCAACATCTCTTCCTGTTGAAACCCAGTTCAGGTGCCTCCTTTTCCAGAGGCTGCTCACCTGAGCCCCTCCTCCTCAGCTCAGTGACTGGCTCCCCCCATTCCCCTCACCCTCATTCGGCGCTCTGGTTTAATGATCGTTTGTCTTCTCTCTGACTCTGAACCAAGTGAGAGCAGGGTCTGTGGGCTGTGTCATCTCGGGATGCCCAGCCCTAAACACAAGGCCCTGCACATACCTGGCACCTAATACAAGGAATAGGAATCATTTCTTTTTTCAATGTTCTTTCAGATGGGTGCCCCAAGCCTGAGACTCTGAATTCAGGGCCACACCAGGATGTCTCTGAAAAACCATCCTGTCGGGAAGAAAGACTTGAAGGTCTCAGAAGAGATGGCTCAGTGTACTTCAGCCTGAGAGACGCAGCGGAGCGTGAGGGCCGAGGAGCTCCTCAGCAGGATAGCCAGGACCCACCTGTGACACCAGCACCCAGCACCCACAAAGAAATGCCCTCTGGGGAGAGAGGCTATGCGTGTAACAAATTCATTAGACATTCGGGCCTGAGAAACCTTGCCACAGCACAGAGAGAAGCCCCATCAGAAGAGACACCCCTCAATCCTGAGAACAGGGAGAGCTCCCAACAGAATTCAGGCACAGTTAAGCTTCAGAGAACCGGTGGAGAGAAAAGACCTTTTAAGTGTACTGAGTGTGAAAGGACCTTTCTTTATCACTCAGACCTTATTATACACCAGAGAATTCACACTGGAGAGAAACCCTACAAATGTAATGACTGTGGTAAAGCCTTCAGTAATAGTTCCTACTTTATTCAGCATCATATAATTCATACTGGAGAGAAACCTTATGCATGTAATATATGTGGGAAAACCTTCAGCCAGAGCTCATCCCTTACTGAACATCAGCGAATTCACACTGGAGAGAAACCCTATTCATGCAAAGAGTGTGGGAAAGCCTTCACCCAGAGCTCATCCCTTATTAAGCACCAGCGATGTCATACTGGAGAAAAGCCCTTTAAATGTAAAGAATGTGGGAAAGCCTATACCCAGGTTTCACACGTTGCACGACATAGGAAAATTCATACAGGAGAGAGACCCTATAAATGTAATGAATGTGGGAAAGCCTTTTTTCATACTGCGTCCCTTACTCAACATCAGGCAATTCATACTGGAGAAAAACCATATAAATGTAACGAATGCGGGAAAACCTTCAGCCATAGCTCATCCCTCACTCAGCACCAGAGAGTTCACACTGGAGAGAAGCCCTATGAATGCAGTGACTGCGGCAAGTCCTTTAGCCACAGCTCCTCTCTCACTCAACACCAGCGGATTCACACTGGTGAGAAACCCTATGGGTGCAATGAATGTGGGAAGGCCTACACTCAGATTTCACATCTTATGCGCCATCAAACCGTTCATATGGGAGAAAAGCCCTATATATGTAATGAGTGTGGGAAGGCCTTCAGCCACACTTCATCCTTTACTCAACATCTGACAGTTCACACTGGAGAGAAACCCTATAAGTGTAATGAATGTGGGAAGACTTTTAGCCAGAACTCATCCCTTACACGACATTTGAGAATTCACACTGGAGAGAAACCCTACGTATGCAAGGACTGTGGGAAGCGTTACACTCAGGTTTCACATCTTATTCAGCACAAGAGAATTCACACTGGAGAGAAACCTTACCGGTGTGGTGAATGTGGGAAGGCCTTTAGCCGGAGCACACACCTTAATGAACATCAGAAAATTCATACTGGAGAAAAACCCTATAAATGTAATGAATGTGGGAAATCTTTTAGCCACAGCTCATCTCTTAATCAGCATCAGAGGATTCATACTGGAGAGAAACCTTATGAATGTGATGACTGTGGGAAAACCTTCAGCCAGAGTATACACCTTATTCAGCATCAGAGAATTCATACTGGGGAGAAACCCTATGAATGTAATGAATGTGGAAAGGCCTATACCCAGATTTCCCACCTCCTTCAACATCAGAAAATTCACACCGGAGACCTCCTATGAATGTAATGAGTATGGGAAGGTCTTCAGCTAGAATGCACACCAGACTAAACATTAGATAAAGACCTTAGGAGTGTTTGAAAAAAACTTCTCCATATAATTAACCTCTCTTGCACAGTGAGCTAGAAAGAAAATCTCTCTGGACATCAGAGATCCCATCCTGGAGAGTAACCCATGGAATGAATTTGGGGAAAGTTCATTTCTGACCATTCCCTTTGATAAATCCCCTCCCCTCCAAATCTCCCCTGTCTCTGCACCAGTTTGTTACCAGGGATGTCATAAGAGAAAAAGGTTCCTGCCCCAACCCTCCATCCAGCTTTACTGCCTCCATATCAGTCCATTTGCTGCCATGTAGGGGCAAAAAAAATCACTTTCTTTGAACTGAGGGAAGAGGCTGCTCATCTGTGATCTGAGTAGCTCATGCTCCTAAGCTTTTTCAGACCCAGAGTAGAAAATTGTTCATTGAGCCCCTCACAGTGAGAGCATTGTGGAAAACAAACCTTTTAGAACTCATGAATATGCTCTATCTACATTAGAACCAGTAGTGAGTGATCTCTCCAGCACCTAGTGTTTGGTTTTATCTCTACCAAAAAGTGAAATTCGAGCGAAGCAGATTGCCCGAGGCTCTGAACGGCATGCCCACCCAGATGTCTGTGAGAGGGGGAGTCCAGCCTGCGCTTCCAGCTTCCCTCTTCTTCATTTGTGCCTCCAGTACTTGCATCCCTCTTTGCTGTCTCGTGCACCCTTCTCTTCTTGTGTCTGCCTTTCTTTAAAAAGATCCTTTCCCAGCGTTTCCCCGGTTTGTGTCACGTCCGGGGCGGGGAGTTTTCTTTTCATAAATTTTTGAGCTGAGGCATTCCTCGCTGCCACTTTTTGGGTGTTGTTCTTCTTTCTCCTGTTGATGGACTGTCCCCATGCCTACCTTATCGACTGTGGTGGATGGCTCCCTGGCCATCAAAATCCATCATTTGTCATGGCCTCGGCAGCCAGGGGCCTCCTCTGTGTCCAAAATGCCACCCCAAAGTTGTTTTCGACTACAACGCTTAACTCATTCACATTTGCACTATGGTGACTCAGTTGAATGCCAGAATCCACCTCCCTACACAAAGATGTTTCCACATCTCCAGATATCCTCCCACCAAATGGTCGGCTCCCTGGTGTTGGACATTTAGGGCTAGGCAAAAATGGAATAGACTGCCTCTAGAAATCATAATCCCCTTCCCCACTGAAGGTCTTCAAGCAAAAAGTGGGAAGACCCTTTAGTTTGTTACCAAGGGGATTCCTTTTTTTTTTTTAGGCAATTGGGGTTAAGTGACTTGCCGAGGGTCACATAACTAGTAAGTGTCTGAGGCCAGATTTGAACTCAGGTCTTCCTGACTCCAGGGCTGGTGCTCTATCCACTTCACCATCTAGCTGCCCCAAGGAGGGGATTCCTGATAGGTCCAGGTTAGACAAAATGACCTATGAAGGCCCTTCAGCTTTGGGATTCTGGAATCCATGTTGGCCAGTTAAGGTCCTGGACTGACACCTACATTCCAGCGACTTTTCTCCTTTTCTTTCATAGGTTTATAAAATTTAGAGCCAGAAGGGCCCTAAGAGGTCATCTGGTCCCTACCCCTCATCTTACAGATGAGGAAACCAAGGCCGAATGATTTGCCCAACGTCTTACACGTAGTAAGTGGCAGAGCTGAGATTCTCACCCAGGTCTCCAGACTCCAAACCCAGCACTCAGCCTCTGAGCCATGTTCCAGGATATTCCTTCACAACCACACACCATGTAAGAAGCCAGCTCTTTGGCTATGTTGTCTCTTGCACTTGGGAAGCATTTGTATTTAGAGATTCACACTGGGGTGGTGGGTAGTGGGGCCACCTTCTTACCAGTGGGATTCGTATCTTTGGCAGCCATAAGGTTGCACCTTCTGCGGATAGTTTCATGCATTATGCTTTTTGTTGTTGTAAAAGCCTTGTTTGTGTCTTTGCCCACTTTTATGTCACGAGGTCACAGATGCCTGCCTTGATGCCTCATTGGGACATGGAGGTGACCCTTGGTTCTCAGACTGCCAGTGGCCCAGAAGCTCCGGCAGGTCCTCCCAGGCTGCAGAGGTTTGGAACGTGAGTCGTCCAGCAGTGAACTGGATGTCTGTCGTGGAGGACTGAAGTCTCAGCACATTCAAAGAGGCTCGTCACTAAGTTGGCCCCAGGGTGATGAGTTTTTTTTCAGCTACAGCAACTTATGGATTATTGTCTGCTCAGGCCTAGAGGGCTCAGAATCTGTACCAGAGGAAGTTCCACCCACACCAACCAAATTGTGCAGCCAATGGAAAAGATGAAGGCATGACATAGGAGGTCAGAGCTGGGAAAGACCTTAGAGAGCATCAAGAGGGAGAAACTGAGGCTCAGAGATGGAAAGAAATCAGCTTAAGGTCGCACAGCTAGTGGGTGGCAAAGCTTCTCAGACAGCCTGAGATTGGATTCTGGCTCCTCCACTTATCAGGGGCAGCTAGATGGCACAGTGAATAGAGTGCCGGGTCTGGAATCAGGAAGATCTGGGTTCAAATATGGCCTCAGATACCAGCTCTGGGACCCTCAGCAAGTCACTTAACCTTATTTACCTCAGTTTCCTCATCTGTTAAAAAAGATGGATGATAATAAGCACCTAACTCCCAGAGAAATTATGAGGATAAAATGAAATAATAAATAATATTATTATTATAATAAATAATAAAGCTTTTAGCAGTGTCTGGCACTACATAATAGTAGGCGCTACATAAATGTTAGCTATTCATATTTTTACTAGCTTTATGACTTTGAACAATTCTCTTACTCCCACAGTGAGCCTCAGTTTCCTCATTTGCCAAATGAGAATAATAATAATGCTTATACTACCTCCCTCACGAGGTTGTTACGAGACTCAAGCAAGACAATGTGTGTAAAGTGCTTTATAATCATAAAGAACTACTAAGTGTAAGTGTTCTTGCAGCCTTCTTTTGAGGATCAGAAATTTTGGAATATTGCAGAATCTAAGAAGTTATCGCAACCTTGCATCAATCTTTCTATAATACTGTTTGTATCTTCTTTCAACCGATGCATGCTCTTTCCCATGTGGGTCCATCCCCTCTGTTAGTGCAGGTTGCAGCATACCGACCTCCTCATATCCTGTCTTTCTCCTGTCTGTGTCTTTCCAAACATTCTTGGGTACCAGCAGAGGTGGTCTATCTATCTTCAGCCTCACTCTCGAGTCTTCCCAAACACCCTTGGGTA